TACAAAGTGGTAAGATTAGGATGGGCAAATTTAGGAGAAATTAGAATTTAGGAAGTACCAGGAGGCAGGATTTAGGAGCCACGAAGATTCTATTGGGCGGTAAAATGTTTGTGCCGGTCCAGCCCTTATAATTTCCAACACGATGCTACGATAAAGTGCTTAAAAGTAGTAAAATAGTCCCTCATTATCTGAAGCAGTACTTGCATGGTTTACTTCCATTAAACCAATTTTGTTCTCTTTCAAATAAAGCATTCAGAAAACTGCATTCATGGTCGAACGCAAAACTCGCATGAGTTTTAATCATTACTTATGAAGAAATGCTAGCAAGTACAGTTAGTCACAAAAGTCTGCGTACAGACTAAATTTTAAATTAAAAAAACACTTACAACATAGAAAAATGTATTTTAATGATTGCATTTTTTTCTTCTATTAGCTAAAATTGTAAGCTTAAATAAAAAGTAAATAATATTAGTGTAATACTTTTTACATTTTTTCAAAAATATATTCTGTCAAAAAAACTCAGAAATTTCCTCCAATAAGTCTGCGTACACTTAAAAAAAAAAAGCGAAATATAAGTTTACATTACTTCAATACTTTGTAGGATATCATTTATTCTTCAAAACAGCTTGCAGACGTCTGGGCATTGACTGAACTAGTTTTTCAGTGTCATCCGACGTAAATTTCGCCCATTCTTCCTGCAATTAACTAATTAGCTTATTTCGCGACGTAATGTGTTTTCGAATTCGTTTCTCCAATTTTGCCCACAAATGTTCGATTGGATTGAGGTCTGGTGACTGTGGAGGAGTACGTAACTGTTTTGGAGTGTGATAGAGGAGATATTCCTTCACAATTTTAGCTGTATGTTTCGGGTCGTTATCTTGTTGGAAAATAAAGGTATTAGAAAGGTTTAAATTTCGGGCATTGTCTCGTAGATTTTTCTTCAGGATATCCAGATAAACATATTTATCCATGATTTTATCAATAATGTGAATTTCCAACTCCTTTGGACGACATACACCCCCATACCAACACACCGCCAACTCCATGTTTGACAGTTGGATTTAAATTTCTCAGATTCAGTTCTGTTCCTGGTTTTCTCTATACAATAGGGTGGCCATTAACTTTAAATATTGTAAATTTATTTTCATCTGACCAAATTACATTGTTCCAGAAGTCCTGCGAAGAGTAAATATGTTTTGGCATAAGCAATTCTTTCCTTTCTATTTGTCTCGGAAATGTATGGCTTAGACCTAGGTTTGCGTCCATGATAATCGGACTTTCGCAGCACTTTTCGTACAGTTTCAGGAGAAATTTCCTTGTTGCTAGTTAAAAAAATGTCTTTTGCAATGCTTGCAGCAGAAAGTTTAGGATTTTGTTTAATTCGTGAAAGAATTTTTTTCTTTCTTCTCTCTGCGTTACTTCTTCGGTCCCACATCTTGGTTTTACAGCAAGACTACCAGTGTCAAGATAGTTTTTGAATAACTCTTTGCACACTAGAAAATGGTTTTCCAATGGTTTTACCAATATAACGAAGAGTTTTACCTTCGTGTCTCAATTTGATAATTAGTTGTCTCGTAACTAAAGGAATTTCTTTATTGGTTGTCATTTTCCTCAAAGAAAATAGAAATAGCTTCTTCCAATCAACGTGAAATTTGCTTCGGAAGTCAATGACCTTAAAAGTGTAACCTTCTTTGCATTCTCAAATTTGAAGTTTAAAAATCAGATCAGAAATCTCCCGTCTCCTTCGCGTTGTACGCAAACTTTATTGGCTTTGATTTCTGGCCACTTATCTTTGAAATTATTTAACTGTAATATTTTCATATTTAATAATTTATGCACACTAATTTTTAAAAGTCCCTTATTGAAACTAAATATTTAAAAAATAAAACTTTAAGAAACTACCCTTTTCGCACCTTAAAATTTGGATTTGATATTACTTTTCTTGATGTACGCAGACTTTATTGACTAACTGTAAATATTTCCGGTACCATAACTATTTTAAAGTTGGGCATATTACGTGCAGCAATCTGTTTCAATAACATTCGTACTAAAGTTTTTAAAATGGTATTTAAAAATGTAACCAAGGACATTATACGGGATGCCCACTGATCGATCACGTTAGAGTTCGCCAAATGCCGTAAGTTGCTAAAAGCATTCTAAATTAACCAAAATGCTGAAATTAAATAGGCAGGATGCAAAAATGTTGACTGAAGATTGTGCTGGAAAATTTTAAATTACCGTATTTACTCGCATATTTCGACCTCTCGCGTAATTTCTCTCGTACTGTGTTTAGTATGGTTTAGAAACTTCTGTTTATGGTAACTAAAACTTGTGCACATATAGGAAAGTATTTTGGGTAAGTAAAAAGAATGTTATTAAAATTGGTAAGCCCTTTGAAACAATGTAATATTAGTGTCTTTATGTTTTTAATGCATTTTCTATTTAAACAATCTCTTCAGAAATAGTATACTTCGCATAATTTTTCGATTCCGGTTTTCGCAAATTAAAATTAACGAATAAAATGGAGAAATACGCTAGAATAGTGACGTTCAGTACTCGATGAAATCTACAGTTTTCCGTTTATTCAAAATGTTTTTTCCTATGTTCAGGTACTTTCGTTAAAAAGCTATTCATGGTAAAAATTCACTTTTTATACTTTCACAAACATGTTTCCTCTTAATAGTACCTTAAATCAAGAATGCTGAAAATTAGAAAATAACTGTTATTAAGGTATTTAAAACTCTTGAATTTTACTGAATATAATTTTACTTCTTTAAGGCCACAAAGTAAAACTGTTACAACCCAATTTCTACATTCGTAACAAATTGTAAGTCTTTATTGGGAAAACTCTACTAGCGGAACATACTATCATTTTTTTTCTAAAATCTAGAAAATTAATAGCTCTAGTAAATTAACTTATTCAGTTAATATTTATATTACATGCGTATGAAAAATGTGTATTTTCAAGGTGTTAAACATTTCGGTTGTAATTTCATTCTGAAACCAAATATATGGTTGTAAATGTAGTATAGTAACTTAGTCAGACGAGGATGCCGTGTGCCCTTAAAGTGTCTCGCAAGTGAGGAAAGAATGCAACGGAACTACTGCTGCACTAATGGGATTACCAATGTTATAAGTAGCAATTCTATTTGCACGAAATACTGTCAAGAGCAAGCTTTGAAGATTGTGTTTAAAAAAGGCCTTTTACTAGACGAGTAAAAGCCTTGATTTTCAAGGAAACATCCTGAGTAAGCCTTTTCAGTTCCTGGAAATCTGTCATTCGTAAAGATAAATAAAAAAAATTTTAAATGCTCTGTATGGTTTGTCAAAATATAACGCCTGCTGTAGAACGGTCAGACATAAAAGGAACATCGTGGTGTGGGGGGCCGAAAATCTGTTCGAGTACGAAATCTTAAAGTTTATTGCAAGCAAAAATGGCCGAACATGCATAGTAATGTTAAAGTTTAATCTTCGCGACTTGCGCACCTTTAAGAAAGGTAACAACAAGGGCGTTACGGAAGGCTGTAATGTAAGGTGTATAACAACCCAGTGGTTTAAGGATTTGAATCCTATAAAATATTTTGTAGGAAGAAATCAGCCATGAACTTAAATACATTATTCCGGGGAGGGGGAGGGGAATTGAAAGCTACAGTAGTCGATATGTCGATATTTTGGTGTAAAATTAATATGGAAACTGAAAACTTGCGGAAATTAAAACTGCGCAGCATGATAGTTACACCTTTTTGGCTATAGTTTTACCTGTTTGGAAATGCTAACCTAGCTTCTTAACTTGGACGCTTTCCCATGTTTCCCATTTTTAACTCAAATTTCCCTTTGCTTCTTTCTCACTTACGTCGCACTTTCTCTTCAAAAATATATAGTTCTGATAGTCCCCGTCCAATGCCTGATACTCACGAACTTGCACTCTGCTGTTAACTTCCTATTGGCTCCTAGATGATCTGACCAGATGCCACGTCCACACCTTCTCACATGTTCCATCTTGTTGCTTATTGGCTGAGCAGTACTCTTTCACACCGTTACATCGGCATGGTTAAGCACGAATAACTACAGTCCAGAAGACCTTTAAAGCGTCATAGAACCCTTGCATCTCAGTTCCTACAATTTCATCCTAGTCTGAGAAATGCCATGGTCAGTTTCTCCATGTTATACTCAGGATGCGGATTATGCCCAGAAGCCTGTAACAGTCCCGTGAACCTGTCTTCTGGGCATTCTTATCTCATGAGCATTACCCGCGAGTGGGCACTTTAATTATTGTATGGTATAGAACTCTTATTATTCTGCATCCAAACCGAAGTTCGTTAAATTTTGTGATATTTTTGAGAAACTCGAAAGCGTGTTTAGTCTCTGAATTTCGAAAACAAGTGCGCATAATGAGGATCTACTCGGAACCTTCTCACGATACGTACTAACACCTATGTTCCACGCATTGATGTACCTTGTCGCACAAGCACCAATAATGGCATTCTGTTGTGAATTTTTGCAGACTGCACAATTTTCAGTATAATTAACACATGCAGTGTGAAGGAATGGAGACGTTTTATCTGTTGTAATATGAAGGTTTTCTGTTCTCAATGCGCAAAATGTTCTTGCCTGCAATACAATGCATAAACATATGTTTATCTAAAAATATTGATTTTGATACTTCCATAATTTTTTTGAATGCTGTAATAAGCGTTCCTTTAAGTCTTAACATCTTCATACGAATCTTCTTGCATTACTTCCAGTACAACTTTTCATTTGGTTTAAAAGCTTTTTATTGGTTACACAATGCTTTAAACTCATTTGCAACTGTTAATTGGCAATAATGTTTATTATGCCTGCGCTACATTCGTTTACCTTTATAACGCAAAGATACATTTTTAAGCGTATTCTAATAATTTCTCTCATTCCAGAAAACTTGCATAGTTCTTAGAGAGTGATGCTTTTGTTGTAATTTTAAAATTTAACTCGTGTATCTAATTCTTTCCTTTTTATTTCAGATTAAGGGCATTTTAGCCCCAGTATCTGTCATTTTAAGCCCTCTATGGAATGCTGGAATACTTATATGCTTTAAAATGCCGAAAATGATATTTAAAATGTACATTGATACTCAAAAGGCTATATTTTCTCTGCCGCTACGCTGTGTACATTGCATCTTTCGGACGATTACGAAAAGGATAACAGGAGCTCCAATTCCAGATTCTGCTGTTGAAACTCAAGAAATCAATCCTGTGACATTTTTGACTGGTAACCCTTGCGATACAGCTAGTGTTCCGAAAGAAATGAGAAAACTAACTAGAGAATGCGTTGCTGCTGTTAATCGGATGGATGCCTATTACGCGAAATTAAAGAAATGCAAAACTGATTTAGAAACATGGAAGGATGAAAACATAAGAAAAAATAAAGAGAAATTCAAAACGAGATCTGATGAAGAAGAATTGGTTAAATTACTAGCATCAGCCATGAATTACCTGCAGACTTTAAAAGCGCGAAAGGATCGCGCAGACTGTATTTTCTGTGAAAACGCTACTAATTTTCTCACGATCAGAAATGTAGAAGCAAAAAAACTTCTCGATCTATTGTATAACTTGAACGAAACTGAGGAAAGAACAAATGTTGTAAAAGACGTGTTGGCTAAAATAGACAGATTTAAAAAAATTAAAATTGACTTTCCTTCGGAGAAGTCTGAATCCCCAGCTCAAGTTTTAAGGGTGAATTTCGAGTCGCTCCGTAAGTCTGTGCAAGATGTAGTTAATGATAACATCAATTTAAAGTGCAAGCTCACAACTACAAATGATAAACTAGATGAAGTGATTGAAATTTCTAAGAATCTTAATCGGGAAGTTGTCACGTTAGGAAGTCAGTTCAACGATGTATGTGTGCTAACCAAACAAATGGCTACTCTTCAGAACCAAGTAGACCGTGGGCAAGAACTACTACTAGAAGTTGAGGCTGATCGAGATGAAATGAGAGCTAAACTACAGACTTTAGAAAGACTAATCAAAGAGGAAGAAGACTTTCTAGGAGAGCCTACCGAGTCTAATTTCGGAAATTCATGCAGTTCATTAGCCAAATTATCCTTAGATGTTTTCGGGTCTTCACGCTGCTAAGTTGTAAATTATCTATAGAGTGCCAAACAAGTTAAATGTGAAGCATGGCCAGTTCTCATCTTAAAGGTAAATAATTACCTATCTTTTGAAATCTCATTTCAGAGCTTCATTAATACTCCGATGCTCGCGGCCCCAGCTAGACAAAAGTATTCGCTCGGTATCCGCGATAGTGCTATAATTTTTAAACATAATGAGGATTTTTTTTATATTAAGGAAGACTGAACTCTGACTTTACGAAATAATTTATCTTGAACCTTAAGAAACAAAACCACTCAAATAAGTAGAAAACTTTTAAGACATCTATCTCTCGAATATGACGCGAGCAAGGGATTATTAATGTTCTTTAATTTTTACTTCACAGTGATATCTATATACGTCGCATAACTCAATAGTTATCAACTCTGCTTATTTGCATAAATTTTAAGGAAGTATAAGCTTATGAGTAGCTCGAAAACACTTAAGAAATGACCTGTTTGTTTGATGCTTTAAATTCCCAAGGCACAAGTAAAAAAATAATTATCATTCGAAGAATGTAAAAAAGTTTAATATACATGAACTTTTAATACATTTTGAAAAGTGAAATTCCTGAAAGTTCTTAATCTTCGAAAAACAAATGTTAACCCTTGGTTGCATACAAATAATCTAGAGAAGTTAAATGAAAATGTATGTATTTTTTCTACTTAAAATAACCTTGGTAATGAGAAAAATTTATTCAAATTTAGTTTTAAATAATTGCTACCGTTTGTTTACTACAGTGGACAGCAAGCATATACGTACATGCATACAAATCTCTTCCCAACGATTTACGGTCATTGCATTTGAAATCATTTCCTGCCTTATTTGCAGTGATCATTACCACCTTCTAAATGGTAAATCTACAACCGACATGTACATACATATCCCCCCAAAATACCTTCGACATTTCGTCGATTGCAATTTAATTCATTTTGTTACGATTTTGTAACCTGTACCTATTGGATTCAAATGTGAAATGTTCTAGAAATTCCTTGCCGAACATAAACATTTCCAGTGGTGTTTTGGCTTGATAATCAGTACCTTTGAGTTTCAATTCACTCTTTTCGGTAGATCTACCCACTCCACAATTTTCTCAAACTGACATTTAAATTAAAATGTCTAAAATGACTAATTATGAATAAAAAAAATGGCAGTATAAGAAAATGTAAGCAATATTTTGTTTACTATGAGAAATTGTACTGACTTGGAAAGAGAAGTAGCAGCCATTTTCGAAATAGCAATTCTTTACTTAGTGATGCTATACAGCCATTTATGATCGACAGTTGAAAGTTCTAATAATATAGAATGAATAAACACAGGAATGGAATTTGTTAAGGCATTTACAGAAGAATAAATTTAAACTTTTTCTACTAGAGTGGACATGATGCAACAAAGGGTTAAAGAAATGGCGAAATGTTTGATTCGTAACACAATGAATTAAAACTATTTATAAGCTTTTCAAATGCTTATGCAACTTAAGTAATACAATAACATCAATAGTAGGTGGGAATTTTCATAGAAAATGTTTAATTATTTCATAGTTAGTTTGATCAATCTAATTTCAGTGTGTCTACCTCGGTTGTGCTAGTATCTTTTCGATTTTTTTATACAGAAGCGTTATATATTGATAACTTTGACTCTAGCCGCACTTACGATATGATGTACTAATCAACCCCCATTGCAGCATTTTCAGCCCCTAGGTGACCAGTAAATTGGACCCTAGTAAAAACTAAACACATTAATAATTCGAAGCAAAATATGTCTTTAATTACTAATTAGGTTTCGCTCCACCCGAGGAGGCTGCGGCTGCCTGCATCACCTAAGCTAGGAGCCAGTCCTGGTAGCAGTTCTAAGAATACGAGTGGTATGTTTAGCGGATCATCCTGTATAAAATAAGATTCCAGAGCCCTTCTTTTGGTTACTTAAGTGTAAAATATGGTGAGAAAAGGCAGTACACGGCTTTGCGTTCATGTTTCCTTTGACAGAATAAGTTTCCAATTCCAAAATGACTTGCATTTCCTCAGCATAAGACTACCTTCACCATGCTGAAGTGAAACTTTCTTTGGTTTCAACTTCGTACTCCGGCTATATCAAGCTGTTTTTCTGTTACTTGAGTCATGAATGTTGAATTTATTCTAGTCCGTAAACAATTCTTGAAGCCAAGTTTGCTTACGTTTTAGCAAACAAAAGCATTGCTTCTTGCTATATTCCCTAATGCTTTTACCTCGCTGCAATAATTAACGAATTTATAATGATGGAAGTTTACTTGTTGATTTAACAATTTTAGCACATGTTGGAGCACTCGGGCGTGGAATGTTTCACTCTTCCGTCGCAATGCTTCACTGATCTCTTTTTTGAATGACCTGCAAAAATCGGCTATGTATATTGGTTGCAGTGACCATGAACTTTCGTGCCTTTGTATTTACACACAAACAGCAGAGCATTTTTTTATCTTTGATGTTATTATAACTTATAAGCAATGAAATATTATTTTGCAGAAAATCGGGTAGCTCGCTTTCTTCGGGATTCATTTTCTTGTATCCAAAGAAACTCTTGAGGCCGTTCATCTTTGTCTTAGATTGAGGCCAAAATCAATTTTAAGTCGATTGACGTAAGACATCTAAGTTTCTCAATCGACACATAAGCAGTTTTACAGTCAGTCGTAAGGAAGAAATTTATTACAACATGGATACTAAAATTTGCAACTAATAAATTTCCCAGTCTTCCGAATTCTTAGGAAGTTGTCTTGTAAAATGAGTTGTAGCAGAACATGATCTTAAATATTTGCCACTGTATAGAGAAACTTCGTGTGCGGATACTTTCTGTACCCATTGTACATTATGAAATCATAAAAACGTAATAAAGAAAAAAAATTGAGTTACATAAACAATCTTCAGATATAATTATGAAGCTGTATTTACTTTCAGCTCTCCAAGTCTATTCTTGATTTCATGTCTGACATTAGAAGCTGCCAGTTTAGCATAGATAGGGCATTACTTTATCTCGATGCATAGTGCTATTGAGAGCGATCGACTTTACATTGATATAGTCAGCTTCATCTCAAAATCGGTCGTCTCGGTTGTTAATGCCGAAATAACTGATGTCAAAACTCTTGAATACATACAGGTCCCTTTACGGACGGACGAGATGACTTTCACATGCGCAGAAGCTTTTCTTTAGTAATACCGACAGTTTTTAACCAGCTATTGGGCAACAAAAGCACAGTGCGTGGGTCATAGAACCTAAGTCTGCTGTTAAACGCAAGTTTTGGTGCGTTCAATTGCTTTCGAGGACTCTGTGTTAATGATAGATTCGGATAGAAGCGATCTCTGAATAACCATAACTAAGCCATTCTTGTTACGGGCTCATTAATGTTCGAATGGATAAAATATTTGAATCGTAAAAAAAAGCCCACTTTCTTCACCGGTGAGCAGTTTTCATATTTTCAGCCAGTTTCTCTTAGCCCTTCATAAAGGCATTCCTCTCCCTAAAGCAACGAATCCTCGCGTGTTTTGCCATAAACACTCAACCATTTAAAGGCTTCCGAACTTGCTTGTAGTAATTTTAAACATGCAGTCTTGCTAATAACTAGGGTAACGACAGTTCCATCAGACAAACCGGACGGATGGCGTCTTAGCATACGTGTTACTTTCATTACATAAAAGTTTGTATCATAATGATTAATAGAATTCCTTAGAAACTTCCGCTAATGCAGTTCAGACCATGCACATTTTTCAGATAAGCGTAATCTACGCAATAAATTTTAGTATCCGTGAACCAAAAACCATACTGAGCAACAGAAGAATTAGCATTAAAGTCCACACTCGGTTTATTACTACGGTAACTGTTTATTCAATTACGGCAAAGCACGCGAAGTCTATCTACCTAAGGGGGTAATGCCTTCGTGCATATATTTTAAGGAAACTGACTCTTATACATGTTACACATTTGAAAAACCACGAAACCGCCAACGCACCCAGCTCGTTCCCCTGCAATGGAACCCAGGTCGGAACTACCAGTGTTCAGAGACTTGAACCGCTCGGCCGCTGGTAGGCAATGAGTAATGTATCCATTTTAATGAATTGTCTTTTCGAAGTTTTTTACTTAATATTTTCAATTTATGATTATAAATAACTTGGAGTAAGCTGTATACGAATGCTCTAATTAATAAAGGCCTAGAACGAAAAATTAGCACTGCAGAGCAGAAGCTGCATGTCTAGCTGAGGCTAGTGTGTATTCATTTCCTCGTATCATTCACACAAATATTTAGGGTTTATGTTTGGCACGGTTTAAACATGTTAAAAATGTGAGAAAATCGGAATTTTTAATTGGAAGACTGATTAAAAAGTCATTGCCCCGTTCAAATGTGACGCGCATGATTGTATAACGTAAGAGCCAATATTTCTTAGTGTTCCGTGAAGGCGTCCTTCCCTTTCGAATGACTATCGCCGCGTTTTGTCATAATCGATTAAATTAATATAAATAAACTGAAATTTTTCTTTGCAGGTACGTTCTTGCTCACTGATTGTATTAATCTTGTGCTTTTTGCAAGAAATGGTGTCCTGTATGATTTTTAAGCTGGTTTTCTGACAAAAGGCACTGACAGGCCCTTTTAATACAATACCTCCAGAAAGTGTTATTCGTATACTTTATTTCAAACAACTTATGCATTTTAGAATACTTTTATTATCGATATATCTTAAATTGGCACAAAGAATCTAGCACCGTATTAACCTGATATCTGTCCTTTGTAATAAGCCTCTTAAAATGGCTCTGTTGGATGTTCATAAAAGGAAAATGTTGTGAAAAATTCAACGTGATGGAATCTTAAATGATCTATATATTTCTATACTGTTTTCGAAACATGGCTCCAAAACTTCTGTTTAACCGTCAGTTAATTTTTATACCCGAGCTGACTTCATTATTTTAAAAGGCGTATTATAGTTCTTATTTTATCAGTTCTGTATTTTCAGAAATAATTTAAATATAAGTTTAATATTATCGAAAGATTTTTGCCTCTGTTTATTTCCATTCAATACATCTTAATACAA